ATGCAATATCCATGTTTCAGGAAGTAGGACATTTAAAATGAGGGTATTTGGTTCCCACAGCCACAGCCTGGGCTTTAGATTCTACTCCGAGTGGCACAGTAGGCTGGGTCCAAATGGGATGGTTGGAGTCATATTACTATCCATAAACATGTAACAACAACAATGAGAAAAGCAAACAAAACCAGGCACATCTATGTCAGTGGAATGAAGAATTTTTGTTGAAGTACCCTTTTTGTGGAATGAACAAGGTCTTGTGAAACACTCTTGTTTAATGGTGAGAGAATGAGAACACAGCTGATGCAGAGGAGAGAATTAGAAAATGCTGAGGAAGCATGAAACATTGGCCTTGACTTTTAGTGGCAAAACTTTCTGAGGCCAGAGATAAAATGTATTCTTTCAGCTGGACACTTGCCCAAACGTGATAGGACTCAAGGTTTATGTCTGCCTGAGTGTCACAAGACAATTATGCACATAGTTTATTGAGTTTCCAATGTCAAAGCCAGATTAACTCCTTGGCACCTTCAAAAAGGTCTTTTGTTTCATCCTGTTCTGTTTTTGAGTCAGTGAAACACTGAAGTAGTTCACAATTCAAAGAGACAACAAGAGTAGAGTTTGCATAATCCTCTCTGCCATCTTCTGCCTTTTAGCCACTCAGTTCTACTTTTTGGAGCTAACCAATGTTACCACAATCTCTTTCTTGATTTTATACATTTTGTTCTTCATGCATTTTTTTTCTCGAGGCGAGAATCTAGGGAATAAAGTTCCTTAGCTTCTTTCCCCAGGTTGGAATTCCCACTGGATGGCCCTTACGACTGAACTAATAATCCAGTAAAATTTCCCAGAAAATAGCAGAAACCTGCCAGTGCCTCACTTGGCTTTTCTGCACTCTGCTGATCAGGTGACTAAGTGCCTTGCCAAAGACTTCACAAAGAACAAGTGATAACACACTGTGTGAGTGAACACATAGCTATTACCCTTCCTAATCCCCTTGCTGATGAGGTTCAATGATTGTGTCTTTGTTCCTGTCCAGATAGCAGGACGGTTGGTGATATGGAATGTGTTAATGCTGAAATTCTTGGGTATTTCTCTGTAATGCATCTCTCTCTCTCTCTCTCTCTCTCTCTCTCTCTCTCTCTCTCTCTCTCTCTCTCTCTCTCTCTCTCTGTGTGTGTGTGTGTGTGTGTAACTTCATGAAATGATAACCTTTTCAAAGGCAGAATCCCAATACCTAACCAAGTCTACCTTCAAAGCCCCAATTTATGGATCTTAACTTGTGGTTTTACAGATTAGTCAGTACACCTGGAAATGGACTTGCCTTTCTTTTATACATCTCAAATAAATTGGGTAGCCACTGCAGGGCTATAGTACAGCATGAGATGTTGTTGACCTTGCTAGGTTTCACACATTTAAAAAAAATTGAACAGAGTTACATGTATGAAAGAACTGTTTTACAAAGTGTCAAATTAAGTTGGTTTTAAGTAGAATATAGTTGACATGTTTATTAACCTAGCTTTCGGTAGGGGTTAGTTTATCCTTTTCAACTGCCTTCCTCCTCCCAACACTCAAGTTTGCACCCACGGCCTCCTATTTGATAGTCAAACACCAAATATTTAATGAAATCTTGGTTATTTCTCCCCAGTCTCTCTGTTTGTATATGTGTGGGTGCATAGGCAGGTGCCACCCATCTTGTTTTGTGAGACAGGGTCTCTGACTGTCCTGGCTCTCACGGACTAGGCTGGGCAGACTGGTCAGCAATCTCCGGTGGATCTGTCTGTCTCCATCTTCCCAGAGCTAAGATTACAGATGCCTGCTGCCACACCCAGGTTTTTAAGTCACTTCCAAGGCTTCAATTCCAATCTTTTCAAGGCGAGCACTTTGAAGTCTTCCCAAGCTCTCTATCTTGATTCTTAATAATTTTGTTTTTAGGTTTATTTATAGGCAGTAACCCTGTTGTTCTTCCTTTGTTGCATAATACCACTCTCATCCCTATAACACCCCTCCATCTGAACAACTGCACTTGAGTGACACTGTCTGAACAGGGCACTCATGAGACTACATGGAATTATCACATTTAAGACAATGAACATGAGCTGTGCCATATATAAGACCATTAGGCCAGGAGGCCAGCCAGTTGCTAACTATTTCAATCTCCCTACATGCCCCTATCTCTTCTTCTTCCCCTCCCCACCTGTTAGTCCTGAGCAAGGGAAAAGGACAAGTGACCCTAAAGAGAGATAATAGCAGTAGAAGCCTGCCCACACTGCCCAGAATTAAAATTGGGGCCAGGTATGACCATGGTCTTGCATTATACAAAATGAAACACAATAAAAACTATAGCACAGATTTTTTTTTGCCAACTATAGCATTTCTTTCCATTTCTAATGTAAAGGAATTTCACAGATTGGTTTTTAAATTCCCTATTGGAGTAAGGGAAGGTAAGAGAGGAGGAGTGTGTATGACTAACATCTATAGACTTTACTTCAATTAAGTTTTTTTTAAAAAGCAAAATCAGGCTTTTGCACTGAAATAAAAACATCTGCCCAGGTTATTCATTTTTCAGAATTAATCTGAACTACATACAACTTTGACTGAGGAATATCATTATGCACTGTAACACTAAAAATGGAAGACCCAGAGACAGGTATTCGGTTCAAGCTTCAAACTGAAGATCAGAAAAGCAAAGCAGCCGGCCACTTCAGACTGAAAGGGGTGAGCCTGTCTCCATGAGCTCTCCACAAGCCTCAGGCTGCTGCCTCTCCTCAGTGTGGCTTGGGGCTAAATCTCAGAATACAGCTTGAGACTCTGTTAATCTTTTAAGTTGATTCACTCTCATGTATCCCTGGGTGGCCTTGAACTCACAGAGATCCATCCTGAGTCCTGGGATTAAAGGTTGTGCCACACTGCCTAGCTTCTACAGCTAACTAGTGTGGCTGGCTTTGCATTCTAATACTTAAAGCAATCTTTATGAAATCATAAATAATATATCACTACAATGCATGAAGATGTTGCTTGGTCCATTCATTACTGGTTTTTGGATGACACTTAAGAACATTCAGGAGGTAAAAATAATAACAATTTCAGATTATTATGTTCAAGGACCCAACTCAGAGAAAACTGAGCCAAGAGGGATACTGTCAACCATTTTCCTCCCACAATACAATGGAAGCAAAGCATGTTATAGGTGTGATGTTCTATTTTAAACAAGTTTACTATTGATATAGAAAACCATGCAGTATATATGCAGATCCCTTGCAAGTTTGAATTAAAATACTAGCAATGGATTAGTCATACATGGAGATTTATGTTAGAGGTGGGCATCCAAAATTGAGACCTTCTACCCTCAGTGCCATTACTCTCCAGAATATGATCATAGGAACAAAGCAACAGGGAAACTCTTCTTGGTTAGCTATATAACAAAGCTATTGGGGCCATCACTCGTGTACTGAGGCCATAAGAGGTCAGGTTTGGGTCTGAGATTCTGGGAAATTTCTTACTAAGCCAAAATGCAAATCAGCTAATGTAATGAGAGATCCACCAGCCTCACCTGTGGCTCTGACCACTCCCATTTGGGTGTGGTCACAGATGCGTACATGAGAGCATGTGGTATTTGGTCTGGGGTACGGGATAGGCTAACCCGCTCTTCTTTCAGGTCGGGTCACAAAGAGAAGCCTGGGTGAGGATCCTTGGAGCAGGAACTTGCAGGTCATTGGTTTCTTATGTAAGTGACTCCTCACTTATAAATTTAACCTATATTTGACCAAGTCCCATTTATCTTAGTCTGTGCATCTACATGCTAACACTCGGATTCAAATGGAAACATGACAGTGCAGTATGGACCAGACTTCTGTTCTCACTGGGACACTATTTGAGAAAAATTACAACGTTCATAGGCAGTAAAGGGAAACTGATGCTACAGATTAGCATTATCAATGCTGAAAACCTAGTATTTCCTTCTCTCTAAATCATCTACCAAGGAACCACATTACTCTGAGCATGAGTAAAATCTACTCTGAGCATGAGTAAAATCAACATGCCATCCCTTTCCCCGGAGGTCTTGAGATTCAAGGGTATATGTCACTCAGCCTTGAAGTCTTGAAGTGTGGACTTGGAACCCCTTGGCCTTTGAAGTCCTTCATTTGCACAGCACATACTTTCTTATTCTTCTTGCTCAAACATGGTAGATTTTTTTCAAGACTAAATGACATGTGATGATTTAACCATTCCGACGCCTAATGAAAGTGTTTAAAAATTATTCCATTTTAATTTCTAATATGGTAAATATTAATAAATATAACTTCCATTTTAAATTTTATTAGGGTATAAAATGTTCCTAAAACCAAATAGTGTAAGAAACACAGAGAGAGGGAGAAAGAGGAATAAAAGACTGGGGAGAAGGAGAAAGAAAGAGTTGGGGAGAGGAAGAGAGAACACAATAGGGTCCTATTATCCCACTCAAGGCATATCCCCAATGACATAAAATCCTCCTTCTTGACTCCATTTCTTAAAGATGATACTACCTTTCTGGTAGTGTCATAAGCTGGTGGCCAAGCCTTCATTCAATATGTGACCATTGTGGGGAGCATTTAAGATCTAAACTATAGCACCCACTGTCAACATGTTGGCAAGTACCAAGATGCTCTTCTGGAGTGTTTTCAGGGTGCTCTAGGTTAGGCTATCTTAATGAGATTGCAGAAGCATTTTATCTCCTAAGCTGCATAACATCCAGATTATCTCCAAAGCTCCAAATAATTGTTCATGAGGGAAGTATTTTTCCTAATTCATGACTGCAGGCACAAGTCCTTTTGCTGAAGCATGCACAAACAACAAACAATAACCAAAGAAAACGTTTCTGTGCTTGCTAAATTGTCTGAAATGATATTAGAATTCATGGGTACTATTTTTTGAAGTTCTTGAACTCCAATTGAAGTGAAAACAAGAATCATAGCCTACCAGAAACATAAGATAACGAAGCAGGTTTTGTTTGCTTTGTTTTTCTTTGTTTTATTGAGTTCGATTTGGACACTGGCTCATTTATCTGAGATCTTTTAACTCCATTCTTCAAAAGTGGTTGGCACAGGTTGTGTCTCATAGGTTGGTCTAGCATCCATTTAGTCAGGGGGTAGCTTTCCACTAGGCAGTTGCTTCCTAAGAAACAGAAGGGCTTTTTTTTATATAAAGCCTCTTGAAACTTGGCTCAGAACATATATGACCATGAATATAGTATCTGCAAGCTTGGAATTATCTTTTGTGATCTTCACACTGTGTACATACAGATCAGCACAGAACTGGAAGCATGCATTTTCATATAAAAATAACCTCACTATAAAATACAAGCAAAGACTGGCTGAACACTTGATTAATATGCAAGGAGACACAGAAGGAAAGATGGGGCACAGTTCCTGTGACTAGGGATTGCAACAAGTAATCATTTGCCAGTTATGACATCATAGTGTCCCCTGTTATCCATGAGATTAACTGAAAGAAAAAAGGAGATTTTTCTCCCCTTTCTCTATGATTACTAATAACATAAATTCATAGAGGGCTCCAGGAGCCACCCCTGGTCCTCCTACATGAAAGAATGGGCTAAATGACTTTCATGGAAAAACCCATGACTTATGAAGAGAAGATTGTCATTTATTATAACATGCATTAAAATCTTCAGCAAAAATAATACAAGGCACACTTACCACATTCTGTGTTAGTCAATAAATCTTTATATTTATGTAAATTAAGCCATTTTGTCTTTAGGAGAAAGTGGTAAGAGCTAGAATAGCATCATGTAGGAAGGAAAAATGATTCATCTTTCAGGAGATACGAAGACTATGGGAATGAAGAAGTATCAGAACTGCTTGGAGACGTGGTCTCTTCCCTGAACATTTGGGGGTAATTATCTTTGACCACTCCCTGCTTCATTGTCTTCATCATTCGTTTGTTTCTGGGAAAGGAGAGGTGTTGAGTCTCCTGAGGAGTATGGTAGGCACTTGACAGCAGCCCGTGGAAGATAGCAGTCCTGGGGCCCATAATGGGCAGTCTGTAGCCAATGCTCTCTAGAAGACAATGCAAAAATAGTGGAGAATAAGGACTTGGACACTGTTCTTAAAAATGCAAAATAACTAAGGGCCACCAGAGACTCCTCCAGCCTTAGCACATACTCAAAATTCATATAAGAATTTCTTTTAATAGAACCATCTTATACCAACAACTTTTCAAAATCTGATCGAAGATGCCAAGTGAAATTTAGAAATAACACCCAAGAGTTAAGAGTATTGCCAATTAAATTTAAATTGAAGATAAAGTATATCTGGAGTTGTAATATTAATTCAAGGGAAAAGAAGGCTCAATTCTCAGGAGACTGCTCCAGGACACATGTGTCCATAATCCTGTTCTTTGAAAAAATAAATAGCCTTGATCTTACAAAAAGGCTACAGTATGAAAAGGATTTAGTATTTCAAAAGGAACTTTACCTTACCATCCTGACATCTTCTTCAAACATGATTGATTTTTTTAAAAATTATTTACATTTATCTTTTCCAGAATACATATTGCTTAAAGGAGATAAATCATGTATGCAACATCACTTTTCCAGCTGAATGACTAAGGGAGTTGAAGCCCTAAATTTTCTAGAACAAGTTTGCTTGGTAAATCCAAATGGGAGTTAAATCAATTATGGGCTTGAAAGTCTAGAATGCAGTGCAGCCTTATCATTGCAATTAAGAAGAAACAATATTTTGGGTTGACAGACATAAACAGGTTGAAGCCCAGGATCTAGCTCCTCTTAGTCTAACTTAGTGCACTTTGTATCATGTCACACTTCTTTGAGGCCAGGTGCTAAACATATGTCGGGTGGGTAACATAACACCAGGGCTCATCAAAAATAAGAACCTGCAGTTCTTATGAAATAAAGACAAAGATAAATGAGTCCAAAGAAACCTCCAGTTACCATTCTGGATGCTGATAATAAGGTTTGGCTGAATTTAGGAAAATGGTAGAAATCACTATCTTGACCTACAAAATGAGTTAGATAACTGTGGACAGTGAAAACACTGGGATTCTGTATTCATAGCATGTTTTCATGGGTGTGGCAGCTTGGGCAATAAGTAGCAAATATTGAAGTATTGGTATGACTATTTGAATAAACCATTAGGGTGGGTGTGCCAGGAGCTGTGGCTTGGTCCAGCATAAAGGTTGTTTATAGTATGTGAAACAAGATGCTGCTCCAGCTTTTAAAGTAGGAATATGGACACCAAACCCACAGAGAAAGGCCAGCATCTGGGAATGGGCATTATTGGTCCCAAGCTACACATTCCCCCCATGCTTTGGAGGACACATACAGCAAGAAAGCCTAGCTCAGAGAGGTCACAGCTAGCACCACATATAAATTCACCAATGTGCAGCCCATGAATAATTCAGCACCCACTTTCCCTACAGCTCCATATCCAAGATTGTTGCCTTAGATTAGACTCTATGGGCAAGAAAACCCTGTGCTGATCCCACGCACTCAGCTAGCTTTTATGTTACTAATTGAAGCATTCCCAGGGTTTACAAATTGGTGTTGCAAAATAATCTTTCTGAGAGAAGGAGATATAAGTGTGTGTGTGTGTGTGTGTGTGTGTGTGTGTGTGTGTGTGTGTGTGTGTATTTGAATCATTAATTTTCAAGATAAATCTGAAAAAAATCCAGATCCAAGAAAAATTAAAAATAAGTTTGTCACTAGCACAGATGACACTGAGACCGATTGGGTGTGCTTATCTCCCAGTGTTCTCTTGCCTTGCGGGGAATAACTGAGCAGAGAACATTAGTGGGGAACTTTCATTGGGTAGATGCTCTTAAGCTTAGGTCTCCATTGCTCCCTTTTGTGTAACCAAACTCATGAATTAGGTCAATAGTTTTAGATATGTGAGAGGAAATTCATGGGAACTGGGCAGCCCCTTTTCATGGCAATGGAGTTGTATTCCCCAATCTCCTATTGTTTGGGGGTCTCTAGTCTTCCCTTTGGCATCGGCACAAGACACCCCTTCTGTACTCAACTTTCCTTTCTAGGTGGCTTCTCAGTTCAGCTCCAGTTAGGAATCCCTGCAACTTCCTAGGATAAAATATCAACATCTAATTTCTGTAACCATAACTTTATTTCTTTTACTGTACAAATCTAATGAAACAAAAGCTCCAGGTAGTTGCAGCTCTTTGTGATCCATTTGATAGGAAAAGAAGCCACTAAAGCTTAAGCATCCCTCAATCTTTGAATTACGTCACCCCAAGAAATGGTTTAGTTGTATGTTTGTCAGTCCATTGCCACCCACTCTAGGGGTGAGACATAAATCAGTGCTAAAGCCTAGCATATACTACTGTCTTTTTTGTTTGCTTGTTATATAAGTAGCAATAGAACTTAGAATAGCATCGGACAGCTTCTGGAGAAAGGTAGGTGTTTTAGGACTCCTGTGGATAAAAGATTTGTGGCTCCCAAAGTCCACACCTATGCTAGGGATAAGTACTGAACTACTACAGGAGGTCCCGTAGATTTCCGAGGTCTCCTCATTGAAACCCACGTTCCTGGGGTCTGGATCAATCCCATGCGGGTATCCTAGCTATCAATCCACATAGAGGGATACTCCCTGAGCCAAAACACACGGGAGTGGGCCTAGGACCTATCCCAAAGGATATGATAGTCTCTGATGACTCCCTATGGAAGGCCTCACCCTCCCTGGGGAGCAGAAAGGATATGTGATAGGTGGATTTTAGATGGGGAGGAGCGGTAGGGGAGGATCGGAGGGAGTGGGAACTGGGAGTGACATGTAAAACAATCTTGTTTCTAATTCAAATAAAAAAGATGAAAAAAAAAGATTTGTGGCTTTATAGTGAGACCATTCCAGGAACATTGTGATACACTTGTCTTTCCTCTTCGATTTATGTCACCAGGACTGCTGAGAAAAGTTCTTTTACTTGGTTTGTGTTGCGTTTCTATGGAAAGTTAGTTAGCAAGTGGCTTATTAGTCAGAATTATGTGACCTTGGAGACAATATGGCATAAAAACACATGAGACCCTTGGAGGGGACAGAGTGAACTGGAGTTAAAAGAAGGAGAGGGGGGCTGTGAAACAATCCAAACACATGCAAAAGATTATACACAAAAGAAAAAAAGGACGGAGAATGGAATTTGCTCAGAAAATTCACAGAAACTGAATTTTCCATTCTCAGGCCCCAGGTGGAGTGTGTATTATACTGGAAGTACTTACTCTAAAAGAAAACAAACCTGTTTTGTGGTAGCACTGATTAAACTGCTGGACATGGGGATGATGAATGAACATCACTCTGATTGGAAGAATCAAGAAAACACATTAGTCAGTTGGTTAGACCTTAGAGAAAAGGAACTGAAGGGACAAATATCCCTGGTCCTTTTCCTTGTTCCCTTCTCCTTGTCCCTCATCCTCTTATTCTCTGCCCTCTGTCCCTCTGGACAAATAAATCTCCTTTGTGATGACAACTTGGTGTTGGGGCTCCTGAGCTGATAGTTTTCCTTTCAGGGATGTGTCTTTACACATAGAGCAGGAGTGTTCTCCACTCCAGCATTTGCTTGCTTTACAGCAGGGTTAGAGAATTAATTGTCGAAAACCCACTAATTCTCAAATGCTTTTCCTTGGTAGTATCTTAATGGGTTCTGATAAAACCTTCATTGTAAAAATATTTTATTCTACCATAAGAACATGTAGAGTCTAAAACTAGGAAGAATTAAGGAAATATTTCCCTAATTTCCATTAAAAGTAAGAAATCTTCCAAGTTAGTCATTTGCCCCTGAAAAGCAAAACTGAGAGAATGTTTGGGTTGGAGAGTTTGTGACTTCTCCCTTTCTCCTGGCAGCCAAGGCCGTGAGGATGCCCACCGCCCCTCTCCAAATGTGTCCAATCCTCAGACATTCTAGATTGGTCTAAACTGCTTAATTTCTTAAGACATACAAACTAGTAACATTTGATGGACTATCTAGCAGTGATTCTCAACCTGTGGGCCATGACCCCTTTGGAGGCGGCATAGTAGATATTTTCATTATGATTCATAACAGTAGCAAAATTATAGTCATGAAGTAGCAACGAAATAATTTTATGGTTGGGGGTTACCCCAACATGAGGAACTATATTAAAGGGTTGAAGCATTAGGAAGATGGAGAACCCATAAAGGCTCTCTATACATTTTAATGTGCCTACTTCCACAAAGCTCTTCTGAGGTTGTTGTGTTACCAAAATATATGGCTGGTGTAGGCAGTTTGTTTAACTCATTTGTCACTGGAGGGCTCATTGAGATGGAGAAAAGAGAAAGCAAAACTCATCTATGCCCATGCTGTGCAAACAGCAGGCAGTATGTTTAGGAATAAATAGTTTATGATCTGTCTATTCATAATTCAGCAAGTATGTGTGCCACATCATTTTTTCTTCCTCAATTCTTCATTTTTACATTTATAAAACATTAACTCTTGCAGTGGCTATAGTTAAAATCACTTAAGAGGTGGCAGGGCTGGAGAGAAGGCTTGGTGGTTAAGAGGCTTTTCCAGAGGACCTGGGTTCAATGCCCTGTACTTATGTTGGACAGCTCCACCAGGGCATTTGATGCCTTTCTGGCTTCTTCAGGTGCATCCCCCCCTTGGCATACACACATACACAAAAAGATAAAATACATTTTAAAGGGGGGGAGGAAATTGTTTCGGTGAGGTTCCATTTCCCTGTATATGGTGAGACTTACAAAGGGTAGAGAAGATTTTATACACAGCAAACAGAGCCAAGTCCATATTGCATAGCCACTGTAAGTATCAAACAGAAGTGGTAGGCTTTCCTTCATTATTATGTTGAAAATGCAACCAGAACCAAAGGTTTGAGAGTATTTTAAGATCATTCAATTCTTGGCCACAGTTTAAAGGAATAAGAACTGTTTGCTTATAATAAAGCCAATTAATGATTTTGAGATTAAATGCTTTACTTAAAGTACAAAATAGTTTCCTATTTAAAGTTGGCAAAGAGTATTTATTAGAATGACTTTTATCATTATTTAAAAAAAAATGGTATGAGTAAATGATGTTAGTGTTGGAACTTGGACTGCCCGGACACACGTTTCCTCTGTGACCTTTGTGTATCTGAGCCAGCACTGGTACATGGTTTCAGTGCACTTGACTTTTGTCACAGCCTAGAACAAAAGGTTGTAATGTCATAAAAGCAATCAGAACATTTGCTCTGAGCCACATACGATTACAAGAAGACTTGCTGGTTCTTCCACCTCCCCCTTTATTTAAGAGAGAGAATTAAAAGTTGCCTTAGTGTCATATTTAATTATTTTGTAAAGGTGACTCCATGCTCACATTCCACCGTGTATCATAGGCATTCAGAACATTGATGCCTTAGCCAGAGTGCATCCATGTTTGTTGTTTTATTTAATCTTTGTTTGTTTTAGTTAGTGTATAAAACAATGCGTTTCATTATGATGTTTCATACATTCCTAGCATTGCATTTGGGCCTAGAGGTTTTTTAAATTGAGGTTTTCATAATGAGATCATTATATGTGCATACAACCCCTCGTGCCCTCATTTCTTTCCAATTTACTTTCCAAGTAAATTCTTCACTGTTGATAGTGAAATACAAGAAAAAAGTATAAAAACCCAAGTAATCAGAATTTAACTAAAGTTTATTTTGTTGTATTTCTATTGTATTGCAGCAAACAAAATTGAATGTATTAAGTAGAATTTAAGTTGATGAAAGGTAACAGAGGATGCCTTGAACTCCGGACAAACTGTGTGTCATCTCCCATATTTTGTGAATTAGATATGTATTGTCTATACAGGAATTGTTTTCTGCTGGAGAGCAATCAAGACATTTCCTACCCTACTCCTTGTACTGTTCTTTAGTGGGTGGAAAGAAAGGTTGTGATAATAGTAACTTAAATAATCATTAGTGGGGGCTGGAGAGATGGCTCGGAGGTTAAGAGCACTGACTGCTCTTCCAGAGGTCCTGAGTTCAATTCCCAGCAACCACATGGTGGCTCACAGCCATCCATTATGAGATCTGGTGCCCTCTTCTGGTGTGCAGATATACATGGAAGCAGAATGCTGTATACATAATAAATAAATAAAATATTTTTAAAAATAATCATTCGTGTAAAGAAGTGAAATAATTTAATTTAGTCAGACTCCTTGGCTCCAACAGAAGATAAAACAACTATGAAGTACATTCCCAGGGTGTTCTGTTTACTGTCCTTTCAATCCCAATTCTGCATCCCAAACAGATAGGACCAGAACTTAAGGCAGATCCCAGCGTACATCTTTGGCTCACCTGTGATTCACAGAATTCTGGGAGGATGATTTCTCTTCATAGTCTGGGATTGTGAAGTTTTTTGGCTGTACCTGAGGAGAAAAACCCTGATTCAGTATGTTGTCTGTTATAGTCTGATTTAAATAATGGACATTAGCAAATCCTAGTTATGTCTGATACTGTTCACATATCCTTTTGCATCTTCCTGCTTCTACTCTCAGGGCAGCCACCACTGCCTTCCACACACTGCTGGCTCCTGGTATTCTCTGTCTCTGCTCTCTGAACACTCAAAGATGTTGCTGCACTACTTGCTTAATGGTGTCTGCCTTTCCTGATAAACTCGAATCTTCATGAAGAGATGGCATTTTCTACACTGGTATGTTTGAGAATTAGTGAGCAAATGATGCCAATGTGAAGCACATTTGAAAGCATGGGCCTTTCTCACAGGCTACAATCCGCAGAGTCACAACTTCTCTAGTTAGGAAATAGCTAGCTCACTCTTGAGCTACTTTGATCCCAGCACTACAGGCTGGCTTCCTTCACGAGAGTACACATTCACTCCAGCACCCTTCCACTGAAGATGATGGTACCAGTGATGGCGAGATGGCAATTACAAACACATGGGTGCAGGTGTTCTCTTGGCCTACTCGCTGAGGGACTTGGGATTTAAACTCATGGTATAATAAAATTGCAAATTGTTATGTGTTCAATACCTCTAGAGATGCCTGAAAATAGAAAAATTCAATGCCAGCTCTATCTGAATGGTCTGGCATTTTTAGTCAGATTGTTCTCCTGAATCATTGGCTAAGGGAAGATGGAGGAGGAAAAAGAAGAAAATGATTAGGAGTCAAGGAATATGTGGGGAAGTGAGAGTAGCAATGGCTTCAGTGAGGACCCAGGGGGAGAAGGAGAGAGAATATTCCAGAAACAGATCTTGTCTTTCCTCAAATTTCATCTATGGTTGACTCCAAAGGGAGGAGCAGGGAACTTCCTACTTCTTGTAGAGTAGCATGACCCACATTCTACAGCCCCTCACTCTGACTGGTATTTTATGCATAATATGGGGTTTAGGGGCTCCACAGAACAAAGCTGCTGGCAATGGCATTTTTGTTTCTGAGAAAAATTGCTTCTGGATGAATCTACTCAGTTTTCCCACCTTTATCGATTTTCTTAAACCTTAACTGTACATATTTATAGTTACAATTTGATATGTGCATATGGTGTGATGACCAAATCAGAATAGTTAAATATTTCTCTATCCTTAAATACATTTTTAAAGTGCAACAATCAAGTGGTTGTGCTAGTTTATCTAGTATAGTGTGCTAATTTTGATACTTAACACTTTACTCTCCTAATTAATACTTTGTATTTGGAGTTTTCCAGTTCCTTGCTTCCACTGTACATAAAATAATAGGTTGTCATGAAGTGCAGTCATCTCACTGTGCTGTAGACTTATACTTGTAGGACTTCTTACTTCCATCTATGCTTTGGTACCCATTATTCAAGCTTACTTTATTCTCTTCACCCTTCTCAACCTTTATGATCTCTATTGTATATCCTGACTAGCTTTTTAAAAATTTACATATGAGAAAATAGGTAATATTTGTCTTTCTGCACCTGACTTATTTCATTTAACTAGCACAGTGACATCAGGCTGTGTAAGATTTTGTTGCAAATGAGAAGATGCTATCTTTTTTGTTGATGCATAGCATTCCATTATGCCTGTACTACCCATTCTCTTTCCTTTCATCCCTTTATAGGTCTCAAGGTTGGATACATATCTTAGCTACTGTGAACAATACAGTAATCAGTATACTTGTTCAAGTGACTTTTTAATATGCTGATAGAATTTTCTTTGCCTATATAAAAGAAGAGGTATGGTTGGGTTACATGGTAGCTCTGTTTTAAGTTTTTTTTTTTTTTTTTTTTTTTAGGAACCACCATGCTATGTGTTCTCCAAAATGACTAATTCCTATTCCCACAACTATACACTATTTTTCACATTTTTTGCCAGTATTCATTATTTATGGACTTTTTGGTAATAACTATTCGAATCAGAACAAGATCTGCCTTCACTACTTCCTAGTGATGCAAGGATCTGTTTCCTATAATTTGCTCATCATTTGAATTTCTCCTCCTGAGAAGCAACTGCCTATATCCTTTGTTCATTTTATATTGGATTTTTATTATTGAAATGTTAAGTTCCTTACATATTCTAGACATAAGCCCATTGTAAATGAGTGGTTTGCAATCCACCCATTTTATAGGTGTCTCTTGACTCTGTTTTTTTTTTTTTTGTTCAGATTTTTAGTTCACATATAGTTATATAATCTTTTAAGCTTGTATAGTTATATAATCTCATGCATTTATATTTGTTTTATTTTATGTTCTTTGTCTTACACCCTCCTCCAAATCACAGCCTATATGGACATCTTAAGTATTTTTCCTGTTTCCTTCTAGTAGGTCTTTAATCTATTTTTTGTTTTCTTTTTGTAAGATAAGAGGGGCCACTTTTTTCTCTTTTCCCTTGGAGTGCCTGGTTTCCTGAGCACTGCTAATAAAGAGGCTGTCTTTTCTCCCAGTGCATACTTTTAACTTCTGTGTTGAGAATCCAGGGGCTGCAAAAGCATGATGTTACATGTGGGGTTTGTGGTGGATCCCTTTTGCTATGCTGATAAAGTTCTCTTCCATTCCTAGGGGTCTTTACATCCTCCCCTGCTGTGTTCATTGAATGAGCTGTTAGGGAAGGTTGGATGACAGAGAAACTACAGAAACTCAATAGTTACTTCCTTTGGTGGATACTGTGTAGTGTGAGGCTAGCACTTCAGGCTTGCTGTCTGTCTTTCTGTAGTTTCTCAGCCAGCTCTGATGGCAGGAGGGAAGAGTTCTTAGGCACTACTGTGTTGCAAGACTGTTACTGTGGCATCTGTAGCAAGCAGTGAAGCCATGGGATTATGGGTTTATTCCTGTCAGGCCTGTGATAGGACAAAGGTCAGGGAAGAGGTCTTGGGAACAGGAGCTTCCAAAGTTGCAAGTGTCCCAGTTGGCCATAGCCAGCTTTGCCCCGAGGTCAGGGCATTCTAAATGTGATTCCAGGAATGAAAGCAGGAGAAATTCCAGTCTAGACCACAGTTAATGCTCATGTGAAAACTGGTCCCTGGTGTGTGGAAAACTAACAGATGGCAATACCGAGGGGCAGTGTCTGCCACAGCTTTAGCCACACACAAATTCACTCAACTCACCTTCGCTTATTACTCAGTTTAGACTTCTTCCTTACCCTGTGCCCCTCATCCTTTGTCTTATAACCTTAGCCCTGGCTTTCTCCAATCAAAGGAGAATTAGTGGATATCAGACTTAAGGTGGTCCTTTATCACCTGCACTTAACAGATAGCTCAATCACCTTAAGCCAAGTCATATCTCTGCTCTAACCCTAAAAGCCATGAGGCCCTAATCCTAATCCTTAAATTAACCCATGTCCTAATTCTGACCTGGGATTCCCCCACACACACACAACAGGTCTCTTTTCTGCAGCAATTCCGACATGTGGCAGCATCGTGTCCTTTTTCCTTACAGATCTCCTGGGAATCTTCTTTTCCCATAACATTTCTCCTTCCCACTATTTTCCATTACAAATTAAAGTTATCCAGGCCAAGAGACACCTCTGGCTACCTCTCCCCAGCTCTCTTCCGAGGCTCACACTGAATTAATGATAAACTCCAAAGTAAGCAGGTTATTTCATAATTGTAATGGTAGAGAAGATTAGTGTGG